GGCCGCTGGGCACGCTGCTCAGAAGGAGAAGCCTTCCTATAAATTTGATCACGGCCGGGCCGGGGGCTGGGGGGCCGGGGAGCCGGGGGAAGGGAAAATGAAGTGAATGGATAAAAAAACGGTTCTCAAACACGCGAAGGAAGAGGCACTTTGGGCCGTAAAATCCGGGCGAATGAACAGCGCAGACGCTGCCGGATGACAGGCAGCCGCTGCTCGCCCCGACGGGGAGGCCGCGGCCCGCCAGCGCCCGCCCGTATTTCACAGTGGATCCGTCCCCACTTCCGGGGACGTGCAGCCCCGTGCAGTGGCGCCCCCCCTCAAACTCACGCCACGCGATGGGGCGCGATGCAAGGACTCAATCCCGCACTGCCTGCCCCCCGTCGCCTCCCCCGCCCGAGGTTCCGCCCTCCACTCCGCGTCGAGGACAAGCAGTGCCAGACGCCGTCCACCCGGACCACAGCGCGTGCCACGCGCCTCACTAAGCACTATCGACCTGCCGACCAGAAGGAGGACGGCGACGGCGCGATCAACAAGCCGAACCCGAACCCGAACCCGAACCCGAACCGCCGCCGCAGCCCGCGAACCGCAAACCCGCCAGGCGAGCCCAAGGCACGCGGTTCCAGCCTCTGGCGGCGGCGAATGGAGGAAAGTTAAGCGGTGCGGGTCCGGCCGTCCGGCCGCCACAACAGCAGAGGGGAGGCGAGTCATCGCAGGCAAACGATTCTTCGGTAACTGCGGGTGCACGCTAGTTACTTTCTTTGCCTGCGGCGGGCTCTCGCGTCGCGGGGACATTTTGAGCGGCGGAGCGGCGGGGATGGCCGCCGCTGCAGCCGCCAGGCCAATCGTGGCGGGGCGCTGTGGGGCGCGGGGTAACGTTTTCAAGATTTGTAGCCGCCGAGACCCCCCCCCCCTCCCCTCGCCCGGATTCGCCCCGCCGCGATTCCAGGCGATTCCAGGGCGGCTCCACGGAGGCAGGCAGAGCAGGCTTGGCGCGGGGGCTTCAGCCAAGCCTAGGGCCAGGCCTACGCCCAGGCCTACCGTAAGCCAGACGGTGTTCAGTAGGCGCCTTGCCGCGCCGCGCCCCAGCCAGCCTCCCCTCCCCCTCCCCTCCCCCTCCCCGGCCGCCGAGACGTTCCTCTCTTCAACAGCGTGACACGCGGCGCGCCGTGAGGGCCGTGAGGGAGGCAGAGACTCTGCCAGCCCCGCCTCCTCCAACCAGACCTCCAACGCGTCGACGCGCGCAGGCAGACACCGGGCTGACTCGACAATGCAACCCGAGGTTGGCTCTCGCTCACGCAAACGCTGGACCAAATTAAATTTTCAACTTAAGAGGGGCGACAGGGCTCCACCTCGATGGTTCGATCTTCGACGGTTCGATTCTCGGCTCGAGCGGTGCCAGACGGACACACTCGCCACTCCGTTTCTCAGTGTCGCGGCGGCCCGGCGGTGTGGCGGTGTGGCGGTGTGGCGGTGTCCCCGGCGGTAATGCTTGCAAACCGGCGAGGCGTTGCCGGCATTGCAGCTAGCGGCAGGTGCGCCGGCCTGCGACCGCGGGGAGCGGGGGGGCGGGGGAGGCCCAGCCTGGCCCGACCGCCCCCACAACATTTGTACACAGCAGCAGTCACGGCCGCTCGGCGTTACCGCTTCTCATGGCGGGGCGCAATTCATAAAGCCGTAATCAGCGATTTCAGGTGTTAAATCGATGAAATTACCGGCCTCGGCCAAGCGTCCCGTCAGAACGACCGAGGCAGCGGCCCTGCGCTGCCCCGGGCTGCCCTGGGCTGCCCTGGGCTGCCCCGGCCACTCGGCGGGGAAATATGGAAATAATTGGCGCGATTAACACTGCGCGATACGGGGGAGGGGGCAGCGCGGCCAGCGCCGCCAGTGGAGCGGAGCGAGCGGAGCACATTGGATCGCTTATGACTCAACTACGCGGCTACGCCACCGGCCGCCGCCGCGCTCCGTGGCGCTCCGTGGCACTCCGTGGCGGCTCGCGGCTCGCCTCCAACGATACGGAAAAGATAAACACCGCGGACACGCCAACACATTTTCATACGGCGGCGCGGCCAGGGGCAGGGGCAGGGGGTGGCGGAAGTCCCGGGATTGAAATTGGGCGTGACTGCGTGGCGTGAGGCGAGTCGCGGCGGCCTAACCGAAAGAAACCGCGCCGTTGTTCCGTCGCCACTGCTGGGCCTCCTCGAGGCTCGGCTCCTTATCCGCTATGGCCGCAACGCCACTGCTAGCCGCTATCGCCGCCAGGCTGCGGGGCTGCGGGCATCATGCCGAGCTGCAGCGAGCACAACGGCCCGTCGCGCCGACTGACGCTGACGGCGGCACGGCGGCCTCGCCAGGGGGGAGGGGGGGAGGGGGAGGGACAGTGGCGGCAGCGTAACGGGGTCCTCAAGATAGGCTAATGCCGCGCCAGTTCTTTTGTTAGCTGTATGCAATGCATTCGCCGACCGCCGCGCCGCACCCCGCCGCGGGGCACAACACACTGGTGACGTCACGCGGGGCCAGCCAGCGGCATGCGAGCCAAGGCCGCGCCGTGTCCGGCCAAGCCAAGCAGACGGACCCCTCGCGGGGCCCGCGGGCGGCGGGGGGAGGAAGAGAGGATGCCACTCGGCTGGGAGGGGCGCTCCATAAATTACTTGTGACAGGGGCACAGCCAACAGAACGGGCCGCGCGGAGGCAGACGGCCAGCCAGGCCAGCCAGCACTCGAATGGACTATCTATCGAATGGACCCCCCTCGGGGGCAGGGGTACAACACGAGGGAGAGGGAGAGAGAGGAGGCCAGCCTGGTGACAGCAACCTTCGACTCAGCGCGCACGTAAAGCTGCTGGCAGGGCCGCGCGGGAAAGAAACTGGAATCCAGTCTCCAGGCTCCGGCAGCCTCTGTCTCTGTCGCACCCACGGGGCGCCCCGTCCCCGTGGGCGTGCGAGAGAGACAGCGCGACCAAGGCAGCTCGCTATCCTCCCGGCCGATTATTCCATGAGGTCCGCGCGCGTCCGCGAGCCTCGCCACGGTACCCCACGACGGCCGAGCAAAGCCGGCCAACGCCGGGGGATCTGTCACAGCCCGCTTTTTGCCGCCGTCCTCGAAAACTGGAGCGCAAGCAGCTATCTAGCGAGTATCCCCGCAAAAAAAAAAAAACAACAACATAAAAAAAAAACGCGCGAAAAGACTTGATAAACTCGACAACTTGAGTCGGGATACTCCGCGCGCGCCATCACCTGCTTATTGCAGGCCGTATCACTACACCGGAAGTTTCGCGGCCGTTACGCTTTTACTTCCCATTTGCGGAGTGCGCGGCTAATTTCGCTCGCGGCTCGGCGGCACGGCACGGCTCGGCGGCCGCGGACCCTCCGCGCCGAACGCGGCGGCGGTAAACCGCAAAGCCCGGCAGAGCACGGCGAAGCCGCCTCGGAATGAAATGACGAGTCCCGGATTGATTTACGCGAAGCAGGCGAAGCGCGGAGCGGGCCAAGCCCCGCCGTAAAGGGCGGGCCTGGCCGAGCACGCCGTCGTCGCCGTCCTGGCCGCCGCGTCGACGCGGTGCTGCACGCGGCCTGCGCATTCCTTTTACGGCCGACTGACCGGACGGCCGGCCGCGATTCGGCGGCGTGTCGTCATCTGTCCTGCAGCAGGCCGAGCTCGTCGTCGTCGTCGTCAAAGACCTCTGCAAGACATAAACACTCGGGGCGGCCGCGCGCCGCGCACGGAGAGGTCCGCGCCAATGAAACGCGAGCCGCTGCTGCAGCTTGACGACCCCCTGAACCCTCCTGTCCCTCTCGCACCGGTGCGGGACGCCGCACGAGTGCGAGAGGGACGGCGCCACGAGTTCGGAATGAGCGCCGTGCCGCGTCGGTGTCATAAGCACGCCATAAGGCCCGGCGCTGCAGTCGAGTCCCCTCGCGGATCATAAAGACATCACAGGTAGAAAGAAGAAAGAGTCATGACGACGACTGGGGCCGCGGGGCCCTTGGTAGAGCCTGGCGGGGCCTGGCGGGGCCGCAGCGTGACGACTTCGGACAGCCGCTGGAAAATAGCCCTCGTTGGCGCGTTCCCTCGCGGGACGGTCGCCGCCCAGCGGCCCTATGGCTGAGGGCTCGGCCCGCAGGGTCGGCCCAAAGGGCTTGCTCATTGTTTCCCGCGGAATCCCCGTGTAATTTGGCGGGCCGAAGGGCGGAAGGGCGCGGAGAGGGGGAGGGGAGGGCGACCTCTCCTGACTATCACCAGCAGTCTTCGGATTGTGTAAGACCCTCTCATCAAAAAGTGTGGGCGGAAAGGAGAGCGGCGCGGGAGGGGAGGGGGGAAGGGTGGCGGAAGTGAGGGGGAGGGGGAGAGATTTATGACCGAGCGGCGGGGCGGCCCATCACGCGAGAGCCAAGTAAAAGTTACGTTGCCGAATGGCAAATCATCGGACTATCGCGGCCGCGGGGCGGAAGGGGAAGTGGAGAAGGAGAAGAGGGGAGGGGAAGGGAGGGGAGGGGAGGCTTTGGCGCCGCCGTATAGCCATACAGAGCGCATCTCGCGGGCCGCCTCGATGTGTGGGGGATGAGAAAAGTAAGCAGAGGTGGCGGTGACAGGCCCCTGTTCCGTTGCCTGCGTAGCGCGGCGGAGCGCGGCGTGGCGCCGTGAGGTGGGCCGTCGGCACGCCGACACGCAGGCATGGGCCAGGCAAGCCCGCCGCTACACTCCTACAGGTTGGCTGCCGCTTCCACCGCTTCCAGCTTGTTTTGCGGTCCATAAACTGTCGTCTTCTCCTTTATTTTATGTCCCCGCGCCGCCAGCCCCGCCAGCCCCGCAAGGCCCCGCAAGGCCAGACACGAGGCAAAGGGCGAGCCAGTCTAAATCCAACACACACAAAAAGGGCAGAAAAAAAGGGAGGCAAACAGTGTGGCAGCCGCAGCCAGCCACATCAAAGAGCGGCCGACGCATTCTCTGTCTCTGTCGAACTCGCGTGGCGCCCCGTGGGGGTGCGAGTGAGACGGCACCTACCTCGTTGGTGTTCCAGCGGTGGCGGATGCTGGGGAAGTGCTCGGCGCGCGGCAGGCTCTCCAGGTTGTCGGGCAGCTTGATCGGCTCGCCATCTGGAACACGCGGAGACATGGCAGGGTTAACGAGGCAGGCCCAGGCCCAGGCGGGGCGGAACCGCGACCCAAAAAGGGGCCGAAGAAACCCTTAGAAAGATAATCGATCGGTAATAACAGCGGCGATTAATGACGGGCAGATCAAGATGGCGCAGGCATTGTCAGGCCGGCCGGGCCGCCAGGCCGCGCGGTCAGGGTAATGGTGATGGATCGGCAGCAGCGGGGCCGAGCTCGGGGCATGTTTTCAAACCCTCATTTCGTCGAGGGTCACTCGAATCCAGCACGTGGCAGCGCCATAGCACCGCCTTTGGAACGAGGAGTGCATCGGTGCCATCGCCAGCTTGATTCGAGTTGAGGAAGCTCAAAACGCGACAAGAGCCGTGCCCGCCTGAACCGGTCTTCTGGGCCTCGACCACTGTGGGACGGCGGTGGCCTGGCGGGCTGCTCCCCAGTCCCCATGCGCGGCCCGGCTGGCCCAACTGGACCGGCCAGTGCTGACAACGCAACTCACACAAAAACGCGCGGCCAGGGCGGCAGGGCCCAAGTTGGCCGCAACAAAAGCAAATGTTTGGACAAAATGAATGTTTTGAATCTGGCGGCGCGGCGCGACGCGCTGGCCGCGGGGCCGCGGCGGGGCAGGGACAGGGCCTCGGGGGGCGCGAGCGCGAGCCGGCACGAAAAGGTACGAAACACAAACACGATACAGGTAACACAACACGGGCGTCACCAGAACCCTGTTTGCGGTGCACAAACACAGCAGCAGCCCCCAACCCCCGTCGGTATCTTCGTTTCCTTGTCTGTCTGTGTGCGCCGGCTCCAACCAAAGTCGTCACCCACACAGACGAGCGCACGCACGCACACACGCAAACGCGCGCCGCAAATATTTGCCTTCCATACGCTAAATCGCGTGAGCCTTGCTGTAGGTGAGTACGCACACAGGGGGCTCGAGGCTCCAGGCCGCCTGCGGTTCCTGCAGGGATGCCGCGGGGCGAAGGAGCCGCCAGCCCTGGCAGCGTCCTGGCCCAGGACGTCACCCCCGAATGACCTATTCATTTTCGCTCTCGCCCGACAGCCGCTGCCTCTCTTCCTCCGAGCCATCTCCGCCGCGAGGAACCGCCAGTCACGCGTTTGGGGAGTCAGAGTGTCTATTCCACGAGTCAGTGGTGTTGCCAACTGTTCGACGCCGGCGCGTCGCGGCCATTTTTGTCTACTTGTGGCAACACCGACTCGGAGGGTGTAGCGGGGAGGCCGCGATGCCCGAGGTGGCAGATAGTTATTGCTGCCTTGCCGTTCCGGCCCCGCCGCCGGCGGTGATCCCCCACCGTGTGGCCGTGGGGCCCACCGTGGGGCCCACACAGCAGCACAAGTGTGCCATATTTCGGACCTATGATTCGATTCCGGCAGCGCATGGCACGCCGAGGGGCGGGCGGACAGGCGGGTGGACAGGCGGGGGGCGCCGGGCCGTGCGTGGCGGCCGCCCCGCCGAGCTGGCAGCCAAGAGCCGGCAGCCCGAGCTGGCAGCAGAGCGCCGCTCCAGATGGCGTTTTTATCTGTTTCGGTTTTTTGATTCCAGACAGATGTAGCGGCGGTCCCGAGGCCACGGCGGCCACGGAAGGGTGGGCGTTATCGGCACGCTGGACAGGACGGGCCCAATGACGCACACACTGATAGCACGCTCGTGCGCGCACGCCGCCCCGCCCCGCCCCGCCCCGTCCGGCGGCGTCAGGCCGAGGTTATGTCACACTTACTCTCCGCCGGAAAGACGTGGGGCCACCACGCCGCGCCACGGCGCGCCACGCCACTGGGGGAAGGGGACGGGGAGGCAACATACGGTCTGCCCCTCAAGGCCCAAGGGTCAGGAAGACGACATGGAGTGTGTCTGAAAGGATCTCGTGGTCGGCGGAGGAAAGGGCAGGCGGTTTGGACGATTTGCTGAAAGTGCGTTATTCCTGCTGCCCGCCTCGCCCGCCTCGCCCGCGCCGAGCCAACCCAAAACTAACTCTCCCGCTTCCTGCTGCCCCTAAATTCCAGCGCGGCGGCAGATGCACTTGCACAGAACGGCAGGACGCCGCGCAGCGCAGACTGTGCTTCCCGGCGGCGCTGTGTGTGGTGACGAGCGCAGCCAGCCCAGCCAGGACGACGCCTTCCTTTAGCACCTCGGCGACGCGGCGCCTTCCGGTGGCGCCCCGAGACGCGTTGTGTCGTGAGGACGCCGAGGGCGCCGAGGGCGGGCGGGCAAGTCGGCGCCCGAGGCGGCGCGAGGCCACGACGGCGACGCGGCCGGCCTCCCAGCCAGACTTCGTTTGCAACACAACTCACGGACTTTAGACTTTGGACTTTGCTGCTGGCGCTGCTCATTTTTGCATCGCGTCTGATTTGGCGAAACAGGGAATGGCGAGGCCAGAGAGAGGGAGAGAGAAAGAAAGGAAGCCTGACACCGCGAAAAAGGGAAGTCGGAAAATAAAAGGGGCAACCGTTTCCGTACGAACGGCCTGGGCGCGGGGCGTAAGGCGCGCGCGGACAGAACCGCGGATCGAGATTTCGGAAAGCGATCGCTTTCCAGGATGTCAGCAGGCAGGCAGGCAGGCAGGCCAGGAGGCTTTCTGGGGGAGGGGGAGGCCGCGCTAAAGCGGGGCCTAGGCCAGCGGTTCTCAACCTTTCTCGGCTCGCGACCCCAAATTTGAAGCCAAAAATTTCCGCGACCCCCAGGAAAAATTTCGCGACCCCACGGGACCCCTCCTTTAACATGCCACGGCGTCTGATCCGAGGCGGGCATTTCGCTCCCTCAACGGGCAACTGGTCTTTGGACCTTCCTTTAGCATGCCTTTGTTACGGAGTGCAATTATCAGTCTTAGTTTGAGAGCAGTATTGTCTCAAAGTTGGCCAAAACGCTCAGAAATGTCTATGAAAAATCGTGTTTTGGGCTGATTTTAAGCAGCCACTGCGTCTGATCCGAGGCGGGCATTTTGCTCCCTCAACGGGCAGTTGGTCTTTGGACCTTCCTTTAGCATGCCTCTGTTACGGAGTGCGATTATCAGTCTTAGTTTGAGAGCAGTATTGTCTCAAAGTTGGCCGAAACGCTCAGGCATGTCTTTGAAAAATCGTGTTTTGGGCCGATTTTAAGCAGCCACTGCGTCTGATCCGAGGCGGGCATTTTGCTCCCTCAACGGGCAATTGGTCTTTGGACCTTCCTTTAGCATGCCTTTGTTACGGAGTGCAATTATCAGTCTTAGTTTGGAGCAGTATTGTCTCAAAGTTGGCCAAAACGCTCAGAAATGTCTATGAAAAATCGTGTTTTGGGCGATTTAAGCAGCCACTGCGTCTGATCCGAGGCGGGCATTTTGCTCCCTCAACGGGCATTGGTCTTTGGACCTTCCTTTAGCATGCCTCTGTTACGGAGTGCGATTATCAGTCTTAGTTTGGAGCAGTATTGTCTCAAAGTTGGCCAAAACGGTCGCACGATGTTTTAAAGACATTCGACGTTTTGGGCCGATTTGAGACAATACTGCTCCCAAACTAAGACTGAAATCGCACTCCGTAACAAAGGCTGCTAAAGAGGTCCAAGACCATTGCCCGTTGAGGAGCAAATGCCCGCCTCGGATCACGCGTGCTGCTTAAATCGGCCAAAACACGATTTTTCATAGACATTTCTGAGCTTTGGCCACTTTGAGACATACTGTCCCAATAAGACTGATAATCGCATCCGTAACAGCATGCAAGGAAGGTCCAAAGACCAATGCCCGTTTGAGGGATTAAATGCCCGCTCTGATCAGACGCGTGGCTGCTTAAAATCGCCCAAAACCGATTTTTCATAGACATTTCTGAGCGTTTGGCCAACTTTGAGACAAACTGCTCCCAAACTAGACTGATAATCGCACTCCGTAACAGAGGCATGCTAAAGGAAGGTCCAAGACCATGCCCGTTGAGGGAGCAAAATGCCCGCCTCGGATCAGACGCAGTGGCTGCTTAAAATCAGCCCAAAACACGATTTTTCATAGACATTTCTGACGTTTTCGGCCAACTTTGAGACAATACTGCTCCCAAACTAAGACTGATAATCGCACTCCGTAACAGAGGCATGCTAAAGGAAGGTCCAAAGACCAACTGCCCGTTGAGGGAGCAAAATGCCCGCCTCGGATCAGACGCTGTAGCTGCTTAAAATCAGCCCAAAACACGATTTTTCATAGACATTTCTGAGCGTTTTGGCCAACTTTGAGACAATACTGCTCCCAAACTAAGACTGATAATCGCACTCCGTAACAGAGGCATGCTAAAGGAAGGTCCAAAGACCAACTGCCCGTTGAGGGAGCAAAATGCCCGCCTCGGATCAGACGCAGTGGCTGCTTAAAATCGGCCTAAAACACGACCCCAGCATCGCCGCGACCCCTTAAAAAAATTTCGCGACCCCGCTTGGGGTCGCGACCCTAAGGTTGAGAACCACTGGCCTAGGCGGCGGAGCGGCAGGCCGAACAGTGCGACCAAGACCATTTTTAGTTGTTTTATCCATAATCCGTCTAATGAGGGGCACGGGGAGGCCCAAGCGGGGGTGAGGGTGGGGGGCAAGACCGGGCGCCCTGCCCGGCTGTGCTACCCCCCGCGGGGCCCGGCCCGGCCCCACCAGGCTCCGCGAGTGGGGGGCACGGGGGGCTATACTTCCCGTCTGATAAGGACAAAGTTGGTCGCCCGTCACAGGCGGGACCTAAATCATTGAGAGGCCCATGAGGCTTGCTCGGTGGGGAGGGGGAGGGAGGGGGAGCATAAAACAGATTCCCAAGTATCAATCTCTTTAGGCGAACTTGCTGCCGAGCGGAATGGCTTCGACTTGACTCACGACGAAGGGAAGAAGCACAGAGGAAGGGCATCAACACACACACACACACACACACCACACACACACACACACACATGGGCGCAGACGGAGCAACGTTCACCATCAGTTGGACGCCTCCTCCTCTCCATATCGGACACGTTTTATTGCCTTTTGTTAGGACGTTGCGCCT